CTTGCTGGGGTGGGGTGACCTGGACAGCCGCTGGATCAGGCTGTGCTTGCAAATCCCGCTCTCAAGGTCTCCAGCCATTCTTTAGTGCCTGCAAAATCCCAATCTCTTTCCCAAATGAGAGTGGGCAGGGCAGGTTGCAGTGTCCCTTGTGGCACTCCAGCTGTAAGAAGCCTGGTCCCCATCAGTGCCCAGTAGCAAGCAAGGAGTTGAGATTTGTCTGGCAGCTGCCTCACACAACTTACATGCCAAAATCTGAGAAGCTGGTGCACCCCAGTGGCAGCTTTCTGTAGCCACAGACTGCAATCGGCATACGTGGACATTGGGGACACCTGCAATTCCATCAGGCTAGCAGGCTGTGAAAGTTGCAGAGGCAGAGCCTTATTGAATGGTTTCCAAGTCCTACTGTTACAAAGGGCCCCATTTAAAGTTGGCAGCTTTACTGGTCACCTTGTCTAAGGGGGCCAAAAAGCCAGCCAGTTAAGGTACATGCTATCTCCAGTACCCAAAGAGGCCCTAACAGCTGTTGGGCCTCCTTTTTATTAGTGGGTCACCAGGACCAACAATTTTTGCTTGACTGTATCTGGAAATTTCTTTGGTTTCCCACCCAAGGGGCCTCGACATTCAGCCTGCAATAGTCCATTGCTAGTCTCTGTGTTCTGGAGGCCTTTTTGACCAGCCAAACTGGGCTGTTACATTGTGACAAGGTAGGTTGTGACATTTTTCGAACTCCTGACCTCAAGCAATCCACCCACCTCGGCCTCTGGTTGTGACATTTTTATCTGTCCTGAATTAACAAAGTCATGTCCTTTTTCCCATTTAATATGCAGTGCTGGCTTTTTTGAACAACCCAGCAGGACTTAGGCAGCTTAGGTGACAGGCAGGAGTGGATATGTTCCATGCTATGGCTCAAATTCTTAGGTGCCAATGGACATGCACCCTCGGGGAGTGTTATATTGTGGGCTACCAGCAGCCAAAATGTCAATGCCTATAATGCACTCAGCAGTGGAGACCACCGTCCTGGCCCCTGAAATAGCCCAAAGGGCCCCTCCCAGCAGGGAAACACCACAAACAGATAAGCACCCTGGGTCACGGGGTTCGCTCCCAGACCTCCCAAGGTCACCATTTACATTTCCCCTAAGGGACCTCAAGATACTTAGTTTTGTGGCGCTCGTATCCCAAACCTCATAAATCTGATTCCTCTTACTTCCCCTTCTAATTGTTGGTGGGGAGTAATAGGGGGCGCGTGGCCTCTGGTACCTGGGACCGTTGGTCTTCTGCCTCACTAACTGCGTCATTTCGCCTAACGACATTCGGATCGCAATGTCCTTATCGCAAAACAACACTACCGAGGGGCGAGTAAGACCTTCGCCTGGCCTTTCTCCACACCCGTGCTCGGAGACCGGTTCGCTCCCGCTTTCTGCTACTGGCCCTGCAGGTTCCCGGTGTTAGTTCGCCCAAGGCCTTCAGGACCTCCGAGTACCCCTTCCGGAGTCTCTTTCGGGCCCAACCTCTCATAGAGTGCCCAACAAACCAGAGGGATGTTCTTATTGCGTTCTGCCTTCTTTTCTCTCTGGCTCGACCCGCAGCTAGCCCGCCCAATCTGTGGGGAGGAGGGCATTAGAGACATGTACCACCTCCTTCGTCCAGATAAGCATCAAGCGGAAGTATTCCCGTGGCCTGGGTGCCAAGTACACTGTGTGCCGTTGCGCTGTATTTGGGGTATCGTCCTCGCCTGCTGTTCAACCACTGAGCCCATGACTCTGTAGGGGTGGGACCTTGCTTGCAGGGCCAGTTTTGGGTTGCAGCAAGGTTTTCACGGTGTACGCGGTGACCACCCGGATCTGAGTCAGAGGCGGAGACAGAACACCATAATAAGCACAGTTAACAATGAAGCGGCTGTTATCATCTGCGGTAGCGGGCAAACAAGGCACCACAACAGAAGCTAGGTTCTTGAGAAGCAGTCTTCCAGGGGGTCAGGAAAGCTGACCAGGGGATTGCTGGAGTTCATGTCTGCTGTGCCCCTTGCCACTGCAGCCGGAGGGACCTGAAAAGCACCCATCCTGGTTCTGATACCCGTGCCAAACGCCGACGAAACCAAACTGGGCCAAAGCACTGAAGGCATTCTGTTTCTAGCAGGACTGGCACAGAGTCAGGCGTTCCAAGCCAAGTCCCTCCTTGGTCTCATTGGCTGTTGCATTTCCAGCATATTTCCTGGCATTTCTTGAGAACTGAAAAAAGCAAGAAACTGTCCTGCAGTTAGGATAAACTTTCATTATCTAGTCTTTAGTTTATTATTATTTATTTTGAGGACATCGGTCTTCTTGTGTCACCTGGCGTACGGTCCAGTGCATCATCATAGCTCAGCTGCAACCTTAAAACTCCTTGGGCTCAAAAGCAAATCCTGCCTCACCTCTTTGAGTAGCTGGACTCAAGGTTAGGCATGCACCCATGCCTGGCTTGATTTCTTTATTTTTTTGTATGAGGGTGGGGGTTTCTCCCACTTGCTCAGGCTAGTCTCAAAATTCCTGCTGAAGCAGGTCCTTCTACCTTTATTTCTGTACGTTTCTAGAATCAAATAGTAAGGTCCCCAGTTTATGCTGATTTTACTAGTAACTTAGTTTTCTGGTTTGCTTTTTTTTTATTAAGATATTCTAGGCTTTAAATTGTTCAGGTTTGCTAATCTTCTCAAAGCAACCATTGTTGGTTTTGTTGATTTTCTCTATTTTATTATTTTTTACCTCTGCTTAATTTTGATTTCCTTCACTTCTGCTTAATTTCGGTTTTAGTTTGTTCTTCTTTTCTATTACCCCAACGTTATAAGTTAGGGTTGTTGGTTTGATATTTTTCTGTAGTTGTATTAATGTGGTTTACAAGCTGTGAATTTCTTGCTTAGCAGTGACTCTGTTTTATCCATAAAATTTGGTATTTTGTTCATTTCAATTTGTCTCTAAGATTTAATCGCGGGGTTACGCTTGTTGGGGGAATTGTCTTGTTTTTAAGTCCATTGGTTTGTTCGAGTAATGTGTAATGTCTCTGAGCAATTGGAAGTGTTTCTCAGTTTGCTCGGATGGTAAGTAATTGTTTTTTTGAGACAGGTTTACTGTGTTCAGCATAATGTTTGTCCTGCAACTCAGAGCTAAATGTTGTTCACTTGCGAACCGTTTGGCCTCCTGAGCTTACAATGTGATCTTTCTGCTTCAGCTACACTGTGAGAAGCTTGGCTCAGGTAGGCCCGCCGATGCGCCAGCTAATTTGTTTAAAAATGATTTTATAAGGTGGGATCTTACTATGTTGCCCAGGCTGATCTCAAACTCCTGGCCTCAAGTGATCCTCCCATCCCAGCCTTCCAAAGTGCTAGGATTACAGGCACGAGCCACTGGGCCCACCATGTGTTACTTATTTCTAACTTCATCCTGTTGTGGTCAGAGAAGATACTTTTTATAATATATATCTTTTTAAATATATCCAGACTAAATTTGACATATGATATAACCTGGAGAATGTCTCATATACACTTGAGAACAATGTGCATTCTGTTATTTTATTTTATGTTTTTGAGTCAGAGTCTCACTCTGTTGCCCAGGGTAGAGTGCCGTGGCGTCAGCCTAGCTCACAGCAACCTCAAACTCCTGGGCTCAAGCAATCCTCCTGCCTCAGCCTCCCAAGTAGCTGGGACTAGAGGGCATGTTTCCACCCATGCGCCGGCTAATTCTTTTCTACTGTATTTTTAGTTCCAATTAATTTCTTCTATACTTTTAGTGAGAACAGGGTCTCACTCTTGCTCAGGCCTGGCTTTGAACTCCTTGGACTTGGGGAGCGATCCACCTTGCCTTGCCTCCAGAATGAGCTCAGGATTACAGGCGTGAGCCACTGCGCCTGCCTATTATTTTTGAACAGTGTTCTGTGTGTTTGTTAGATCTAGTTGGTTTACGGTGTTATTCAAGTCTGCTATTTCCTTACTAATTTTCTGTCTGGTTCTTCTTTCCAGGCATGGCAGAGTGAGCGGTTATTGCGCAAGTCTCCAGCTATAACTATAGAACTGTCTATTTTATTCTTTAAACTTTTGTTTTTATACTTTTTAATGGGTCATTTTTGGTGGGTGGTATATATTAAATTTAGTTATATCTTTCTTGCTTATAAACCGTTTTATTATATATAGGTGTTTCTTTTTTGTGCCTTGTAAACTTTTCTGATGTAAAGTCTGTATTGTCTGATATTAGCATAGCTATCCTGTTACTATTTGCGTGGAATATCTTTTTCCATTCTGGCACTACTAACCTATTTCTGTGATTTGATCTAAAGTAAGTCACTTGTAGACAGTATTTATTATAGTTAGGTTATTTTAAAAATCTACTTTGTGGCTAGGCATAGTGGCTCACACTTATAATGTCCGTAGCCAACTTTGCGGGAGGCTGAGGAGGCGAAGATTGCCGCTGAGCAGCGAGTCTCAGTAGTGAGCGGTGAGTAATCATGCCTCCCCATACTTCGCCTGGGGTGAAACAGAGCAAGACGAGACTCTGTCTCTAAGAAACAAACAAACAAAGAAACTACTTTACCAACGTTTGCCTTTTTTTTTTTTTTTTTTTTTTTTTAGCAGTAGTCCACTCTGTGTAGCCCCTTGCACTAGCAGTGCTGTGCGCGTCAGCCTAGCTCACAGCAACCTCAAACTCCTGGGCTCAAGCAATCCTTCTGCCTCAGCCTCCCGAGTAGCTGGGACTACAGGCATGTGCCGCCATGCCTGACAAATTTTTTCTATATATTTTACTTGGCCAATTAATTTGTTTCTATTTTTAGTAGAGATGGGGTCTTGTTCTTGCTCAGGCTGGTTTCAAACTCCAGATCTTGAATGATTTGCCTGCCTCGGCCTCCCAGAGTGCTAGGATTACAGGCGTGAGCCACCGCGCCCGGCTAACCTTTGCCTTTTGATTGGAGCATTTTATCCATCTACATTTAAAGTAGTCACCGATAAGGAGGGAGGAGGGACTTCCGTCATTTTGGTGTTTGTTTTCTATATGCCTTTATTCCTCGCTTCCTGCCTTACTGTCTTCTTTTGTGTTAGTTGATTTCTTTTTTTCTTTTTCTTTTTTCCAGTTTTATTAGTTTTCATTAGTAGTTAAGTCATGATTCAGGGTCCCAGGTGGGGATCACCATGTACCCAGGTCTCCCTTTGCTACCCTGCGGGAAGGACAGAGGTGGGCCGAAGCCAGTTCAGATCTTCCCAGGAAATGTGCCTTCTGCCCTGCGGTCGTCCCAGGCCCAGACCCAGGATATGGGGCAGAGGGACTTGTACACATGCCACCATTCACACACAGAGACATCACCCCCTTTAGTAGTCACTGCCTTCTCGCAGCAGTGAAAGTCTAGGTAGTTCTGCCAGCAGTTCCTGGTCTGGTTCTGGTTGGAGAAGCGGCTGTCAAAAGGGGCAGTCTTGTAGTTCTTCATTTTGGTGTTGATGTCTTCTGCCATGATGCTGACTCCTGAAGGCAAAGGAGTGGGTGTTGGCGGGGGTTCTGGGCAGCCTACAGACACCCCAGACGCACCTCGTAGCTCAGTTGATTTCTTAAATCCTGAAACATTTAAATTCTCCTCTTATTTCCTTTTGTGTGTTTTCTATAGCAATTTTGTTTGTGGTTACCACGAGGATTACATTCAACATCCTAAAATTATAACACTCTAATTCAAATGTATTCCAATTTAACTTCATGAGCATAAAAAATAGATATACAACTCTATCCCAGCCCCTTTTGGTTATTGATATCACAAATATGCATTGTGTGTCCTAAGTCATAGACTAATAATTATTTTTTAATGCATTAGCCTCTTAAATCATGTAGAAAACAAAAAGTAGAGTTACAATAATATTAGCTTTTATAATTGTCAATGTATTTTCTGTTACCAGAGATCTTTACTCACGTGGCGTGGAGTGTCCTTCCATCTCAGCCGGAAGCACTCCACTAGCATTTCTTCCAGGGAAGGTCTAGTGGTAACAAACTTCCTCAGCTTTTGTTTACCTGAAAATGTTTTAATTTTCCCCTCATTTTTGAAGCAAAGTTTTGCTAAATATAGAATTCTTATATGACTGGGTTTTCCCCCCTTCAGTATGTATATATATATATATATGTCAATATATCAACTGACTGCTTTCTGGCCACCAAGGTTTCTGATGAGAAATCTGCTGAGAATCTTACTGGGGATCCCTTGTAAGTGATGAGTTGCTTCTCTCTTGCTGGTTTCAATATTCTTTGTTTTTGTCTTTTGAAAGCTTGGTTATTAATGTGTCTCAGCGTGGGTCTCAGCGTGGGTCTCTTTGAAATCATCCTGCTTGGAATTTGTTGAGCTTCTTGTATGTTTAGATTCACGTCTAAAATCAAATTTGGGAAGCTTTCCAGCCGTTATTTCTTTGAATACTTTCTCTGTCCTTTTCTCTCTCTTCTTTCTGGGACTCCCATGCATGCATGTTGGTCCTCTCAGTGGGGTCCCGCAGGCCCCTGAGGCTCTGTCCACTTCAATCTTTCTTTTATTTCCGTCCCTTAGACTCAGTTGTCCTGTCTTCAGGTTTGCTGGTTCTTTCTTCTGCCTGCTCAAGCCTGCTTTTGTATCCTTCTAGTGAAATTTTCATTTCAGCTCCAGAATTCCTTTTTGGTCTCTTTTTATGTTTTTTTCCTTATTGATAATTGCGTTTTGTTCATACATCATTTTCGTGACCTTGTTCATGTTGTCTTTTAGCTCTTTGAGGATATTTAATACAGTTTTTAAAATATTTGTCTAGTAAGTCTCTCATTTCTGTTGTTTTACATTTTTCCTTGAATAGGCCATACTTTTTTTTTTGTATGCCTCCTTGTGTTTCTTTTGTTGTTGCTGTCAAATGTCCAGTTACGTCCTCTTCTATTTTTCTTCCTAGGTCACTGCTTGGCAATTTATTGGCATGTGCAATAAGGAGACATTGTTGGTCTTGGGGTCACCATGCTATCAAGTGAGATCAGCCCCTGCATCATGCAGGAAAGGACATTTGAATCTTACAACATAGCGTTATAGCTCTAGAGAGCAGATTCTCACTATTTCCCAGAGTTTGCTAGGTTTTTGTTTGTTTGTTTGTTTGTTGCACGGCTGCAGTCCCCGATCCCCAGGCTGCTGACTGGTACCAGACTGTGGCCTGTTAGGAACTGGGCCACACACAGGAGGTGAGGGAAGCTTCATCTGTGTTTGCAGCCGCTCCGCATCCTCCCATCACCGCCTGAGCTCTGCCTCCTGTCAGAGCAGCTACGGCATTAGATTCTGCGTTATGGTGGGTTGTATAATTATTCCATTGTATGTTATGATGTAATAATAACAGAAATAAAGTGCATAATAAATATAATGTGTTTGAATCATTCCCCTACCCCTCCAGCCTGTGGAAAAATCATCTTTCATGAAACTGGTCCCCGGTGTCAAAAAGGTTGGGGACCGCTGTTGAAGGGTGTCTTTGTGACGGGGATCAGCCTTAGAGTAAACTTAAGACCTTCTCAGGTCTTTTCTCATCCTGGGAATCTCTAAATTCCCTCTTTATATGTGGCTGCTTTTGAATATCCTACTCCTTAAATGTTTGGCTCCATTAAAGGGAAAAAGAATAGCGAAGGGGGTAAAATCCCTGGTTCTTTTTTTTTTTTTTTTTTGAGACAGAGTCTCACTTTGTTGCCCAGGCTAGTGTGGTGCTGGTGGCGTCAGCCTAGCTCACAGCAACCTCAAACTCCTGGGCTCAAGCAATCCTCCTGCCTCAGCCTCCCGAGTAGCTGGGACTACAGGCATGTGCCACCATGCCTGGCTAATTTATTATATATATATATTAGTTGGCTAATTAATTTCTTTCTATTTATAGTAGAGACAGGGTCTCACTCTTGCTCAGGCTGGTTTCGAACACCTGACCTTGAGCAATCTGCCAGCCTCAGCCTCCCAGAGTGCTAGGATTACAGGCGTGAGCCACCGCACCTGGCCAATCCCTGGTTCTTTAAATTCCTTGGAAGTCACTTGAGCCAGAGAGGGAGGAGGTTGCAACAATAGTGAGGATGGAAGCAATGCCTACCTGCCTCTGTCTGAATTTGTGTGATCAGAGCAGCAATCAGAGCACCAGACCTCTGATATTTTGAGGGCAGGATCCTTATTGGTCACCTGGGTTCCTGAAAGCTGAGTACAAACTGTTCTGGAATGTATGTACTGTTGCCTACACAGTGGGGCTGGGGAGGTCAGGGATGAGTAGCTGCTACCATGCTAAGACCTGACATTGACCAAACTTAACCACAATTTGCTATCCAAGCTTCTGGACATTACAAGCCTTCCAACAGACCCCAGAGTTCCAAAGTAGCTATATCAGATATATTCTGACAGTGCCGTTATTCTCTAGATGGAGAGATGGGTTCCTGGTGCTTTGCTCTACCATCTTTCTTCCAGCTTAGGTACAGGTTTTCATGTGAACATAAATTTCATTTTTTTCTATGATAAATGCCCAAGAGTACGATTTCTGGGTTGTTTGGTAACTACGTGTTTAATTTTTTAGGAAACTGCAAAATTGTTTTCCAGAGAGGTTGTATCATTTTATGTTTCCACCAGCAATGTGTGAGAAATTGCTTCTCCATGTCCTCATCAGCATTTGGTTTTGTCATTATTTCTTATTTTAATCATTCTGATAATTTGTATTTCCTTATGGCTAATGAAGTTAAACAGATTTTCAAATGTTTATTTGCCATCTATACATACTCTTTAGTAAAATGTTTGTTCATGTTTTTTGCTCATTTAATAATTGGATTGTTTCTTTTTTTACTGTTGAGCTTTGAGAGTTTTAAAAAAATATATTCTAGGTACCACTGCATACCTACTAGAAGGCCAACATCCACAACACTGAAAATACCAAATGCTGGCCAGTATGTGGGAAACAGGAACTCTCTTTCATTGCTGGTGGGAATGCAAAATGGTACAGCCACTTTGGAGGACAAAACTAAACATACTTCTACCATATGACCCAGCAGTCATGCTCCTTGGTATCTACCCAAAGGAACTGAAAACTTATGTCTACATAAAAACTTGCAAATGGATGTTTATAGCAGCTTTATTTATAATTGCTAAAACTTGGAGGAAACCAAGATGCCCTTCAGTAGGTGAATGGATAAGTGGTGGAACATCCAGAAAATGGAATATTACTATTTAAGGCTAAAAAGAAATCAGCTGTGAAGACATGAAAAGACATGGAAAACCTTAAATGCATATTACTAAGCAGAAGAAGCCCATTTGAGAAGGCTATATACTGTCTGATTTGAACTACATGACATTCTGGAAAAGAGAAAACTATGGGGACAGTAAAAACATCAGTGGTTGCCAGGGTTTTTTTTGGAAGGGCCCAGGAGGGATGAGTAGGTAGAATACAAGATTTTTAGGGCAGTTGAACTATTAAATACTATGTATACTATAATACATGAGAATACATGTCAACATACAGTCACCCCTGGTATCCTTGGGGGATTGGTTCCAGGGCCCCTTCAAGGAACCAGAATAAGTGGATGCTCAAATCCATTATATAAAATGATGTGTAGCATTTGCATATAACTATACCATCCTTCTGTGCACTTTAAATCATTTCTAAATTACTTATAATACCTAATACAATGTAAAGGCTATGGAAATGGTTGTTATACTGTAATTTTAAAAAATTCATATTATTTTTTATTATTGTATTTCTTTTTATAAAATACTTTTGATTTGTGGTTGAATCTGTGGATGGGGAGCCCCTGGATATGAAGGACTGACTAGACATTTGTCCAGACCCATAGAATGTATAACTCCAAGAGTGAGCCCTAATGTAAACATGCTTTGGGGAGATTGTGATGTATACATGTGGTTTCATCAATTGTAACAAAAGTGCCACCACGCTAGTGGGGGATGCTGGGGGAGATGATGCATGTGTGGAGGAAGGGCTACATGGGAAATCTTTGTACTTTCCTTTCAATTTGTTGTGAACCTAAAACTATTTAAAAAATCTTTAATGAAATTTGTAGATATAAGCCCTTCATCTGATATGTGGTTTTCAAATATTTTCTCCCATTTGGAAACTTTTCTTTTTATTCTCTTAACAGATCTTTTACAGAGACCTTTAAAAAATTTTTTTAAAAAATTTTGATGAAGTCCAATAATCAATTTTCCTTTTCTGAATTGTGTTTGTGGTGTTAAGTCTGAGAACTCTTTGTCTAAATTTTCTTCCAATTTTTCCAAAGGTTTGTAACTTTACATTTTATATTTAAGGTGGTGATTCATTTTGAACTCCTGACCTTGAGCAATCCGCCCGCCTCGGCCTCCCAAGAGCTAGGATTACAGGCGTGAGCCACAGCGCCCGGCCTCATTTTGAATTAATTTTTATATAAAGTATGAGACTTAGGTCAAGGTTCATTTTCTTGTTGTTGCCTGTGGATATCCAATTACTTCAGCATCATTTACGAAAAATGCCATCTTTCTTCCATTGAATTGCTTTGGAACCTTTGTCAAAAATCAAGTGAAGCTGGGTGCGATGGCTAACTCTTATAATCCTAGCACTTTGGGAGGCTGAGATGGGAGGATCACTTGAGCTCAGGAGTTGAAGACCAGCCTGAGCAAGAACAAGACCCTTTCTCTGCAACAAATAGAAATATTAGCTGGGCATGGTGGTGCGCACCTGTAGTCCCAGCTACTCAAGAGGCTGAGGCAGGAGGATTGCTTGAGCCCAGGAGTCTGAGGTTGGTGTAAGCTACCATGACGCCACTGCATTCTACCCAGGGCAACAGAGTGAGACTCTGTCTCTAAAAAGAAAAATTATATTATGGGGAAACATGTTTCTAAAAATTATAAAAATGGTTCTTATCTATAAAAGCTGATATGTGACAGATAATTCAAGATTTCTTGCTTCCTAGGTTTTCACTATAATTTAAGGTTACTAAGAATTAACAATTCTAACTTATCTATATATAATTCTCTATATAAGATGTGTGTAAGATATATTTTGATGAGAAAAGTA